GGGGAAGTCGGCAGGAAGGGCGTGCGGAAGGCAGAGGCAAAACCTAATGGTCCCACACGAAAGTGTGGGGCGAAAATACCCAAGCGGTAGTGTAAACGAGTCGTGCCTCTGGCGGTGATTGTTCGGGCCGAGGTTGGTTCAGGCCTGTGTGAATGGAGTTTGAGCACGGTGATTATGCAACAATTGTGTGGAAAACTTCGGCGGAAGGTTGTTGTTGGCGAGGTATGAACGGAGTTTTTTTTGGCCGCGGGTTTGTGGACTGAATCCACAAATGTGGTAGTCAGGAAGGGCGCGTGGAAGGTCGAGGCGAAACCTGATGTTCCCACGCGAAAGTGTGGGGCGAAAATACCCGAGCGGAAGTGGAAGCGAGTCGTGGCTCTGGCAGTGACTGTTCGGGCCGAGGTTCGTTCAGGCTTGTGTGAATGAAGTTTCGACAGGGTAACTATGCAACAATTGTGTGGAAAACTCGGGCGGAAGGCTGCTGTTGGCATGGTATGAACGAGATTTTTTTGGCTGCGGGATTGTGGACTGAATCCACAAGTGTGGCAGTCAGGAAGGGCGCGCAGGAGGTAGAGGCGTAACCTGATGTTCCCACGCGAAAGTGCGGGGCGAAAATACCTAGGTGGCAGTGTAAGCGAGTCGTGGCTCTGGCGGTGACTGTTCGGGCTGAGGTTGGTTGGGGCTTTTGTGAAAGGAGTTTGGGCAGGGCGATTATGCAATAATTGTGTGGAAAACTTGGGCGGAAGGCTGTTGTTGGTGCAGTTTTATGAACGGGGTATTTTTTGGCCGCGGGTTTGTGGACTGAATCCACAAGTGTGGCATCGTATATTCCCAGGTTGTGCCGAAAGATTCATTCCATTTTGCTCATTCTATCGATGGAAGTGGAGTGAGGCCAGCCGCGAGGTTTGAGACTTATTTGTTCTTTTTCCCTCTCTCTGTCTCTCTCTCTCACACACACACACACACCGACAAAAAAAAAAAGGAAAAAAAGTGGTCGTGTATATTTCCATGTTTTAGCGGAAGATTCATTCCGATTTTGCTCATCCTAATGATGGAAGTGGCCACTCTCTATCTCTCTGTGCGCATGGTTGGAAAGTAGTGTATATTTCCATATTCTTGTGGAAGATTCATTTCGATTCTGCTCATCCTATTGATGAAAGTAGCCTCTCTATCTCTCTACGTGA